ACCCAGCCTCAGCCCTGCCTGGATCTCAGACTCCCAGCCTCAGCCCCGCCTGGATCGCTGACTTTCAGCCTCGGCCCTGCCTGGATCTCAGACCCCCAAACTCAGCCTCACCTGCATCTCAGACCACAGGCCTCAGCCCTGCCTGGATCTCAGACCACCAACCTCGGCCTCACATGGATCTCAGACTCCCAATCCCAGCCCCGCCTGAACTTCATTCTCCCAGCCTCAGCCCTGCTTGGACCTCAGACTCCCAGCCTCAGCCCCTCCTGGACCTCAGACTCCCAGCCTCAGGCCTCCTGGATCTCAGACTCCCAGCCTCAGCCCTGCCTGGATCTCAGACACCCAGCCTCAGCCCTGCCTGGATCTCAGACTCCCAGCCTCAGCCCCGCCTGGATCGCTGACTTTCAGCCTCGGCCCTGCCTGGATCTCAGACCCCCAAACTCAGCCTCACCTGGATCTCAGACCACAGGCCTCAGCCCTGCCTGGATCTCAGACCCCCAGGTTCAACCCTGCATGGACCTCAGACCCCCAGCCTTCGCCCTGCCTGGACGTCAGACTCCCAGCCTCAGTCCTGCCTGGACCTCAGACCCCCAGCCACAGCCCTGCCTGGAACTTAGACTTTCAGCCTCAGCCCTGCCTGGATCTCAGACCCCCAGCCTCAGCCCTGCCTGGACCTCAAACTCCCAGCCTCAGCCCTCCTTGGATCTCAGACTCCCAGCCTTGGCCCTGCTTGGAATTGAGACCCCCGACCTTAGCCCTGCCTGGATCTCAAACCCCCAGGCTCAGCCCTGCCTGGATCTCACAGACCCAACATCAGCCCTGCCTGGATCACAGACTCCCATCCTTGGGACCCTCCTGGACCTCTGACACCCAGCCTCAGCCCTGCCTGGACCTCAGATCCCAGCCTCCCCCCTGCCTGAATCTCAGACTCCCAGCCTCGGCCCTGCTTGTATCTCAGACTCCCAGCCTCGGCACTGCTTGTATCTCAGACTCCCAGCCTCAGTCTTACCTGGATCTCAGAACCCAAACCTCAGCCCTGCCTTGATCTCAGAACCCAAATCTCAGCCCTGCCTGGATCTCAGACCCCCAGGCTCGGGCCTGCCTGGATCTCAGACACCCAGCCTCAGCCCTGCCGGGATCTCAGCCTCCCGGCCTCGACCCTGCCTACATGGCAGACCCCCAACTTCAGCCACGCCTGGATCTCAGACTCCTGGGCTAAGTCCCGCCTGGATCACAGAACCCCAGCCTAGGGCCTGACTGAATCCCAGACCCCCAATCTTGGCCCTGCCTGGATCTCAACCCCAAACTTCGGGCCTGTTTGGATATCAGGTTCCGAGGCTCCACCCTCCCTGGATCTAAGACTTTCAGCCTTGGCCCCACCTGGATCTCAGCCTCGCGGCCTCCACTCTGCCTGATCTCAGAACCTCAACCTCAGCCCCGCCTGAATCTCACAGTCCCAGCCTCAGCCTGCCTGGACCTTAGACTCCCAGCCTCGGCCCTACCTGGATCTCAGACCCCCGACTTCAGCCCTGCCCGGAACACAGACCCCCAATCTCGGCCCCGCCTGCCTATCAGTCCCCCAGCCTCAGCCCTGCTTGGGTCTCACAGACCCAGCCTCAGCCCTGCCTGGATCACAGACTCCTATCCTTGGTCCCCTCCTGGACCTCAAACACCCAGCCTCAGCCCTGAGTGGATCTCAGCCTCCCAGCCTCGGCCCCGCCTGGATCTCAGACCCCAGCCTCACCCCTGCCTGTACCTCAGACCCCCAGCCTTGGCCCTGCCTGGATCTCAGACCCCCAGCCTCTTCCTTGATTGGATCTCAGACTCCCAGCTCAGCCCTGCCTGAATCTGACTCCCTGCCTCGGCCCTGCTTGTATCTTAGACTCCCAGCTTCAGTCTTGCCTGGATCTCAGACTCCCAGCCTCGGGCCTGCCTGGATCTCAGACCCCCACCCTCAGCCCTACCTGGACCTCAGACGCCCAGGCTCAGACCTGCCTGGCTCTCAGACCCCCAACCTCGGCCCTGCCTGCATCTCAACGTCCTGGCCTCCACCCTGCCTGGATCTCAGACTCTTGGCCTCGGCCCTGCCTAGATCTCAAACACCCAACCTCAACCGTGCCTGGATCTCAGACCCACAGCCTCGGCCCTGCCTGGATCTCAGACCCTAGCTTTAGATGCTCCTGGATCTCAGACTCCCAACCTCGGCCCCGCCTTATTCTCAGAAACCCAGGCTCAGATCTGCCTGGTTTTCAGTCCCCCAACCTTGGCCCCGCATGGATCTCAGACCTCCAACCTCAGCCCTGACTGGAACTCAGACCCTCCTGCCTGGATCTTAGACTCCCAACGTCAGCCACGCCTGGATCTCAGACTCCTGGCTTCGGCCACACCTGGGTCAGACCCCCAGCCTCGGCCCTACATAGACCTCAGACCCCCCGCCTCGGGCCTGCCTGGATGTCAGACCCCCAGGCTCAGGTATGCCTGGACCTCAAACCCCCAGGCTCAACCCCGGCAGGATCTCAGACCCCCAGGCTCAGACCTGCCTGGACCTCAGACCCCCAGCCTCGGCCCTGCCTAAATCTCAGATCCCCAGCCACAGCCCTGCCTGGACCTGAGAACCCCAGCCTCAGCCTTGCCTGGATCTCAGACTCCCAAACTGCATGCCTG